TAAGCTAATTTAGGCGTTAATAAACTGTTTCAGGGGAGTGATCATAGCGATCTGCATCAGCAGTGCTGTCTGTCCCCCTGCTAGCTCCAAGATCAGCTTGTCTGATTGGTTGATGTGGCGCGTAGAGCAGCAAAGATTCAAATTTTTACAACTCCAGCAGCTGCTGCTGTCAGATGCTCAGAAGCTCATGAGGCTCTGCTTCACTGGTTCAGACGCGCTGCTCCTGCTGCTCGAAACGCCCTGCAGGACCTTTTGTTGCCTTTTAATGCGCGTCAACCATAGACTCTGCATGTAAACTAGCTGCTTCTGCTGCCTCTGCTGCTTGCCTTTTGAACGTAGCATTCAGACGAGCCTATGACCTGTACCGTATCTTTTCTATTTGAGATTTCCTCTCTTTTCAGACAAAACTTTCACCTTTATGCACCGTAGCTTCATCTGGTCACGCCCCCAACACGTTGCTAACACCTTTCACTTTATTTAGTGAACATAGCTGCAAACAGAGAGACATTAGTGGTCAGGTCTAGAGATCGACCAACACATAGGTGTATCTCTAGGCATAGCTTACTTGTTGCAGCAGCCAGTGATGCTGCAGCTCACACATCACTGTTAGCCACTGTTAAGGTTTGCTTTGCTTTTGTTAATAAAGATTTCCTTTTTGTTTAAATTGGCACCAGAATGACATTTGATATCCTTTTAGTTTTTATCATAGAATGAAAGAAGCATAATCAGTTCCAATGATCGACCCAATATCAGGGATTGAATAAAAATAAATATTTAAAAATAATCCTATCAGAGCTGGCCCTAAAAAAATCATATAGGTTGATCTCTAGTCTGGGTATAAATTCAAATTTCAAGAATTTATTTGATTCCAATTCCTAAGATTTAGAGTCGATTCTTTTGGATCCACTTCAATCAGGTCTGATCTTAAACTGCATTGCTAATATTGAGAACGTTTTTTAAACTGAACTACATGACTGTGTAGTTATGAATCATATTAATGCTGGTGTTACATTAACATTCAACAGAGAACCGAAAGCAGCCATAAGGGGGAATGGGAATCCTTATATGAATCCATCTTAAGGAATTAGAGTGAATCCAGAACTGGATTACTAATTTCGTTTTTTAACACACTTCTAATCCAGCCGTACATCTTTGACCCTGATTTAGACCCAGAAGCTGAAGAAGAAGAGCTGCCTGCTCAAACAGCAAATGATGCAGCGGGCGGCTTCTAAATGCTAAGGAAGGAAAGGCTTGTTGGTGTCAACTTGTCCTAAATGACAAATCATATGCAATGAATAGAAAACACAGTCTGGTCATATTCAAAATTCTAAAATTACTTTAAATATAAAATTAAATATAAAATTAATCCATTCTGTTCAACAAATAATACTGGAGGCATCCATGTTTTTCAAAGAACACTACTGCCACCTGCTGGTTTGTGACGTCACGGTGCGGTATCAGCTGTTGATCAAGTTAGAAACGGTTAGAAAACCGTTTCTAACCGTTTCACTATATTTTAAACAAAACCGATCAACTAATGAGCAGTGCAAGAGAATATGGTGAGATCCAATGATCCAATGATTCAGTGATCAAATGATCCGGAGATCCAATGATCCAACGATTCAATGATCCAATGATTCAGTGATCTAATGATCCAATGATTCAATGATCCAACGATCTAATGATTCAGTTATCCAATGATTCAATGATCCA